GAGAGAGAGAGAGAGAGAGAGAGAGAGAGAGAGAGAGAGAGAGAGAGAGAGAGAGAGAGAGAGAGAGAGAGAAGGGGGGGAGAGGGGAGTGAGGGAGAGAGAGGCACTTCCGGTCTTGGAAAAGGTGGTTTTCTTATTGGGTTTCAAGAAGAGATTTGTAGTAAGTTTGTACATGCTGGCTAACAAAAGTGCTTGTTTTTTGGAAGTCTAGTTTGCAATGTTCAGTAACTTGATGCAATGAATGTGTTTGAGGTTTCCTTGACAACAGTTACTACACCGGATGCTTGCATGCTAAACCTTTGGTGAAAATGTCACCTCGTAAACTGCATGGTAAGACTCCATGCCTGGTCATTGTTTTGCTGGATCAAACAGTGCCCAGTCCTCCTTTGGCAAGGCAAAGTTGACAGATGCACCAGAGTATCCTGACTTAACGAAATCAAAAATGCCAGCAGCTGCTGATTGGAGCCAACCAGCAGGTACGAATCCAAAGCAGCCTGCAGCTGAACCTTCGCGACGGAGCTCATCCGCTTATTCTGATGAGGACGATGACATTGAAGAGATCAACCTTTAGCAAGGGCTCTGGGCAGCTATGGAAGGACAGGGGAAAAGGAGGAGAAAGGATGGAAAAGGAAAAGAGGAGAAGGAGGAGAAAGGAATGTGAACTCAAGCGGAAGCAGAAGGGAATGGCCACAAGACTGTGGGAGAGACCAGACAGGGGGGTCTGTAGATAGCTATCGGTGGCTGGGGGAGAAGGAGGAGAAAGAAGGGTAAAGGATAGACTAAGGAAGGGGAAAAGGAGGAGGAAGGAACGAGATAGACAAAGAAAGATGAAAAGGAGGAGAGAGGAATGAGAAATGGGCGAGAAGTGAACAAAAGGGAAAAGAAGGAACAAAACAGTATGTGAAAGACCGGAGACAGGGGGCTGTAGGCAGCTTTGGGAGGATGGTGGCAAAGGAGGAGAAAAGGCAGAGAGGATACCGGAGGAAGGGGAAAAGGAGGACAAAGAAATGAGATATAAGGGAGACGTGAAGGGAAGAGGAAAGAAGGGACAGGCAGAAGAAACTGTGAAAGGCTGTAGATTTCAACATCAGGACGTGTGCCCATTGATTATCTGAGAAATCTGACACACAGGAAAATTCACCAGCCTTTCAGTTTCCCGGAGGAGATAGTAAGTCCTTATGAATGGCCAGCTGCTCCTGCCAGGTATTCACAGTGTTTACACACCCTGATCAGTCAGGGTGTTATGGTACAGAGAAGTTACCTCAATCATGATTGTTTGACATAAGTTCCTAAATTCTGCAGTGCTTCTATACGCAATTTTTCTGCAGCCGCTGGAACGGTGTAACCCCCAGGTGTGCCTCCCCTCCATTCACACCAGCTTCAGGTAGTATTGTCCATGTCTGTGGGGCTCCATAGGAAAATCTGTATTTCTTACTTTTGGCTGTTTTGGCGAACGGAAAGGAAACTGAGGACCCTCATGGACTAAGTGCGGGTGCAGTATTCCTTCATTATCGAATGTGGCCGATGCCCCATACTACTGGAAGTTTTTCCCCAACAGCTGCAGCTCGTAACACCAATGGATGACCTGGAGAGGGTATACATGTCCATCCCATCCCGCACCATGATGCTGCCACACATGAAGTGAAGCTGCGCCTTGGACTCCACGACGTCTGCCTGGTGGTTCACAGCCTGGAAACTCGACCACGTCATGGGTGCGCCAGCGCAGTCAAGGTGCGGATATCGTAAGTACAGTGAAATCAAAGGCATGTGAAAACAAAGGCATGTGGAGCCTGGCAACTATTTACGGAAAACAAAGGCAGACAGAGTTAGCGAAATTGCCACACACAATTCCTTGGAGGAGGAGCTTAAGAGCATACTCACAATAAAACGTTTTCAACTTTTCAATTAAAAAAACTGGCTGTAATTTGGGTTGGACACATCCAGGACAGTCTTTAGTGCGGGTGTTGGATGTTAGATGCTGAGCTGCCAGAAAGAGTGATGATACTGACTCAGAATTGGGGACACAAAAGTTTTATAGAACTCAGACTGTACCTTCTTCCCCGAATAGAACTTATGGTCAGTATCGCTGTATCTAGACTGAAAGTTGCCCCAAATACATACAGCTATAACAACTGCGCCTCACATTCAGGGGAAGACAGTAGTTGGCAAGAAGATTTAAGGGGTTATTCACAATTGTGTAAGACTTCTTACACTGAATGTGTTCGCAATTGCGGTCAGATGCAGCCCGTAAATTCTGAGTTTGAGTAGGGCCCAAGGATATCAAACTGCTCGTTTGTGCGAATGGTGTACGGATATGATGGCCACTTCCATTTCTCATGGCGGTTAGCATGATGCGACTTTTTTCCCGGGGCGGTGAGGGTGAGGGTGTAGAGGGGAAGGAAGTGGGGGAGATAACTCTCATTTGAGACACCACATGAATCCGAATGGAGCATACAATTGTGTCCAGATGCATGGCAGGAAGTGAACTGTTGATTTGCGACCCCGTATATGTGTGAGGTTTGACTAGACAACAATCAGTTGAGTACAGGCGATCTTTCTTCACCATCCCAGTCAATACAGGAGTGGTGGGTGGCTGCCCGATACACACCTGACTATTGATCAAACAGGCCGATAGTCCATATCCTATTGGATCAACTTGGATGCAATAATATTTGGGGCTGTCGGTCCACTTTCGGAGAAAAGAGGGGGGAGGGGGAGGGGGAAGGCGGATGGAAGAGAACATGAGTAGACTCGAATGCTGTTCCAAGAACCAAGGCATCACTGCTAAACACCTTCTCTAATGTTTTCTTATTGTTTGTTTTAAAATAGACTTGAAT